GCCATTCGTAGAATAACATAAGACCATAAGACATGATACATATTTGGAATGAATGGGGAGGATTTTGAATGGATGTACGTGAACCACATTCCACGCATCGGATCTCCGTAATATTTCAGTCTAGATAAATAAAATAAAATGATACTTAGATACAAAAAAATTGTATTCATTGTTGAACCTGAAGCGTGTAGAATAATATAATGCAATAAAAACGATATGATATATCTTTGAAATTAATGTGGAAAATTCTGAACATTCATATGTAAATCACAATACACGTTTCTGAACTCGGTAATAATTCATGCTCGATAAATAATATAGATTACATTTATGTAAAAAAATGATTCAAAATGCTACCACCGCGATGCGTAGAATAAGGTAAGAAAATAATATTTATTTGACAAATTAACAAAATGAATGTGGAAACTTTTGGATCGTCATATGCGAACCTCAATCAACATTAACGTACTCCGTTATATTTTAGGCTTGATAAACAATATTGGATTATGTATATGAGCAAAAGACGGTGATCATTGTGAACACATTGCATAAAGCAATATAAGACCATACAATCGAAATGATATATTGACAGAACGAATTTAGAATGATTTGCTGTGCCATATGAAAACCTCATTCAATGTACTGCAATATTCCGAAATATTTCAGACCCAATAAAAAACATTAGATTATATCTATGTACAAAATAATGGTTTTCAATGTTAACACCGCAAACGAACCACAATAAACGAAAAAAAATCGATATGATATATTGTCTGAACGAATTTTGAAAACTCCTGAATGTGATAAGTAAACGTCATACTTCGTGCCGAAACACCGTAGTACTTCAGATTCGATAAAAAAAATTAAATGACATTTGTGTAACGAAAAATGATGTCCTTTGTGAACCCCGCGTACCATGCCGTACCATACGCAACAAGCAGTAGAATGCTGTACCATACCGTAACAAATCATAACATACCGTATCATATCGCAATAACGTACCATAAGTGCCAAACCGTACACTATGATACAATACCTTAAAATAGGATACCATAACGTATTCCGCAGAACACCTAAATATAATCTAAACTAAACCGTACCATACTGTACCATGCAGTACAATACTCATACGTAAGGTAACGTAAAATATCGTACCACAAGATACAATAACTTATCATGCCGTACCATAACGTACCAAATCGTACCATACTTTATGATATCGGACAATATTGTACCGAACGATACAATACCGTACAATACCGTACTATACCGCAACACACGCATCGTACCGTACCGTACCGTAACGTACCATACCGTACGACACTGCACTATACCGTACCGTACGTTACAATAACGATACATTCCGTAACATACCGTACCATA